CCCGGCCGCGTGGGCTCTGGGGAGTGGGAGAGCTGGAGTCCTGCCTGAAAGGGGCAGCTACTCCCGGTCCCAGCTCCAGACACACGGCCGGGTGGGAACGTGGACCCTGTGACCTGTTTCCAGCTTTCTAAAACTTTTTTTTTTAAGAGTTGGCATTGCTGTGTTGCCCAGGCTGGAGTGCAGTGACTATTCACAGGCACGTCATTGCACACTACAGCTTCGACCTCCTAGGCCCAAGAGATGCTCTGGCCTCAGCCTCCTGAGAAGCTGGGACCACAGGTGTGTGCCACCCTACCCGGCTCAGAGCTGAACTAAAAATGAGAATTCAGAGGCAAAATTTGCCAGTTCATAAATATAATTCAGCATTATATTACAACAAAACAAAACACTCCATCAGAAAGAGGAAAAAATACCCACATCTACTTCCAGGTTCCAGCCCAGGGCCATCAGTTCGAGACTTTCTGTCCCCGTAAAATCATCCCGTGCACTGAGAAGCCCTTCACGCCTGCCTCTGTTCATTGGCAATCACAGCCCTGATAGAAGCAGCCGGGCTCACCCTCTCTCTCCACAGATGCAGTTCTGAGTCTGCGAGGGATGTGGCCGGTCCATGGCCACAGAGACGGCTTCTCAGCTGTCACCAGCGAGGCCCCTGAGGTGACTACAGGAGAATCCACTCTCCCTTTGCTGGCCCCAGCGGGGAGAACAGGCTGAAACTGGGGCCCCCTAGAAGAGCGTCGGCCGGAAGACATCGAATCCTCCCTGTTGACCCTGAGTCTAGATTGAGGTGGCAGCTTTTCCCTCGGGGTGATGCTCCCTGGACCCAAATACTGGCCGTCTCAGGCCATTCTAAATGATCCATCCGTTGCTGTGCCCCAGATCCCACCGGGAGCCATGTGTCTGTCCAAGTATGGGGTCTTTTGAAACCTGAACTTGAAAGACACAGGGGCATCCCTCTGGGAGAGATCCCATCTGGGCCTTTGGAGAGGGGGACCTGGGATGGCTCAGTGTGGAAAGAAGAGAGACTAAAGGGAAGTGGCCCAGGTGTGAAATGCCAGTGCCGGGCAGAGTACCTGGTGGCGGGGGGTCCCAAAGGTGGCTGTGACCAATGGGAGGAGGCCACTCCCAAGGAGTGCACAGACTTCAGTGCTTTCCAAAGTGTGGGAGAGAGGGAAAGTGGAGGAGGAGGAGCGGAGTGGGAGGGAGAGGGCATCAGGCAGGCAGAACAAAACCGGGCTGCCGCCACGGAAGGTTGCTCCAACCCCAGCAGCTTCCTAAAGATCGACCGGCCCAGGCAGGTGGAGAACCCGCTGGCAGCCTGGGGCCCGGCCAGCAGACCCAGGCATGGACATAGCACGTGTTCTCATGGGTCTGTTTATGGCCAGTGTGGATTCCGATGGCTCTGCTTATTGCCAACATTGATTCTGATGGGTCTGTTTGTGGCCAGTGTGGATTCTGACGGTCCGCTTATTTCCAGCGATGATTCCGATGGGTCCGTTTATGGCCTGTGTGGATTCTGATTGGCCAGAAATCAAGCCCTACCCCGCGTGGTGTATTCTGATTCCACTCCTGCCGGCTCCAGTGAGCCATGAAGGCTGGACAGAAGATGACTTGGTGGCACCCCCCGAACCCACACTGACCGCCCCCCACGCCCTGACCCTCAGCACGTGTAAGGCATCCAAGAGGGGGCAGAGAATTCCTGGAAAACCAGCAGTCACGGTTTCCTATCATTACAGTGAAATGGGAGCTCAGAAGCCAAAATAAAGTTGAGATTCAATATAATGAACTTTAGAAAATTTCAGGAAGGTACACTGTTATTTTCCTGATATACCCAAGTCACAGACTCATGCAGTCTCGTGTGGTCCTCACCAATCACCCTGCGAGGGAAGCTACACTGTCCCCATATTGAGGAGGAAACTGAGGCAACAGAGTAGTAACATCGCTGGCTCAGGGCTCGCTGGCCCAAAGGCCCAAAGGTAGAGATCAGAGCTGTCGTCCGTGGCTTTCGCTGTGGGAGCTCAGGCGCCTGGCTGCCCGGCCGCACCCACCCCGCCCCACCCACCGCAGATCAAGCAGATCACAGCCTTGTTCTTTGTATTATATAAACTGACTTTTAATAATAAAAAAATCTATCATGAATTTAACGAGAAGAATCTGTACATTTTAAAGTAAACCAGTGCACGATGCCCTGGCCCTCGGGCCCTCCCCGGCTCCCACATCAGGGCTAAAGCGAGTCCTTGTGTGCATCTGACATAAGATACAGCGACAAGGCCACCGCCTGCCGTCCTGGTTGCGGTGGCAAGAGAGGGAAGGTGGACGCCAGGGGCCGGGGGAGCTGAAATGCTGGGGCTTCAAGGCTCCTGGCCTCTGGGGCAGCAGGGCACCCATCTCACCCACCAGCCAGGGAGACAAGACATTCCCTCCTTCCTCCCCTGCTATGACAATCCCTGCAGGCGTACGAGAGTTGGGGACACACTGCTGAGGGGCTTCCTGTGTAGGCCCCTTTACCTAGAGCACAGGTATGGTGGCTTCCTGCTCTCTGGCTGGCAGATAAGTCCCAAATGCCCAGCTCTGAGACGCTAACAGCAAGAAAATAAATTACAGAAGCCCCCACCAGCATTTCCCCTGGCTTCTGTCCACCTGTGTGAGAGGCATCTCAAGTGTGGTTCGATCCCCACCCCCGACCCGGCCAGCCACCTCTCAGAGCCAAAGGCAGCGTGACCTTTCAGCCCTGACCAGCCGCTGGAGACTGAGGGTGGGCGGGAAAAGGAATCAGTCGACACCTTAGGACCCTAAATATTACAAAAGAAGGAAGACTGACATCTTAAGCATTCTCAATAATTTAGTTTTTCTTTTTTGCTTTCTTTAGTAGAACTGAGGAAGGCTGTCAGTACTACCTCATGTTGGTCCCTGTTAGACAATATACCTTTCTCTGCAACTTAAACCGTCAAATATATAATCACACAGCCTTAGAAAAAGGAAATCTGGACAATACCAGCAACCAAAAACTCCCAAAATAAACCAGAGCTTTCACGCCATATAAATAAAGTCAGGGCAAAGCTCGTGCCCAGGGCTGAGGCTCAAGTTCCAGTGGCCGTGATGTCGGGAGCTGGTGTGGCTTTCGAGACCCTCTTGGGGACTGGCGTGGCGCCCCGCCTCTCTGTCCTTCCTGGCTCTTCCGAGTCCACCAAGCGGTTAGTACGGGGTTAGGGTGGATCTGGAAGCTGAGGTGAGGAGGGGGAGTAGGAGGAAGCAGGGACACCCGTGGTCTCCTGGAATGTGGACTTCAAGAAACCGGGGGTTTCCAAAGTGCAGGTTGAGCCGTCCCGAGGGGACCGGGTCTGCGGGCCTCTGTGACCCTCCCCTGCATCCTGGGGGTTTGGGGCCGAAGCCAGGCCCCGGCTGCCCCACCAGCTCTGCAGGTCCCCAGCACCCATGTGGCTTCTGAAAGAAGGGTGGAGAGTGCGCCGGCCTGGGCTGCCCAGGCGGCTCATGGGAGAGGGGGCCCAGGCCAGTCCTGGAGGGAGGCAGTGGAGGCCGCTGGGCAGGTCTTGGGTAGTGGCAGCAGATGCTTCGGGCCATATCTGGAGAAGGCCGGTGCTGTCCGCTGTGTCCTCCCAAATCCCAGTTCCAGAGGACGCGGCCAGCACGGGGCGTCTGGGTGTTCAGAGGTCTCCGTCCACCGGAGGCTGGCAGAGGCGGTAGAGGCTGGCGGGAGGAGGCAGAGGGTGAGGAGGGCCTGTGTGGGCCAGGCTACCAGTATCGCCCTCCCTTCTTCTCAGATCATGAAGTCATGCCCAAAAAACAAAACTCAGAAGGTGTAAAAGACGCAGAGTGAGAAATACTGATGCTGCCCAGGCCTTCCCGGCAGCCGGGCCCCTCCCACAGGCAGTCCCGGCCCCAACCCTCAGGGGCTGCACTGGGGGGCTCTGAGCTCTAGCTTCAAGCAGACAGCAGCAGGGTCGTCGATGCCCCTGGGGGAGACATGGTTTTGGAGGGAGGGGGTCCCGACAGGAGGCCACACACGGGAACGGGGTGGGCAGAGCCAAGATGGATGCGGCAGAATGGTTAGCACCTGGTCTCCGGACCCAGAAAAGCGCCTGGTTCAGGCTCCCAGCTCTGCCGGTTACGAGCGGTGAGGAGCCTTGGACCAGGTACCTCCCTCTCTGGGCCTCAGTGTCCCCACCTGCCGGAGGGGGATGACAGGGCCTTGCCCACGGGGTGCCTGCTTGGAGTACATCAGTTCACAGGGAGAACAGTGCCTGGCGCAGGCTGGGGGAGGTTTAAAGGGGCACGGTGCCGCTGGTGACTCCACGCCAGGTCTGTACAGAGCCCAGCGCCACACCAAGGCCACACGCTGGGCCTGGCGGTGCTTGTGGTTACAAAAGCGCCAGCTTGGGGGAAAGCAGCTTGAAGGGTCCAAAGAACTCTCTGGGCTACTCTTACAGCTTCTTGTGAGTCACATGATTTCAAAAGACACGCTATTTAAGATTCGCGGGCAGATACTGATGGAAACTGGGGCCATGAGGGCGGAGAGAGGAGTCAGACTAAAGGGAGTTAAGATTCCTGGAGGAGGCAGAGACAAGAGGGCAGGACTCCCCACCAAGACCACAGGAATGGCAGTGTGACAGCCTATCAGACTCTCCACGGGCCCAGCAGTCTGGCATCTCTCCAAGTGGCTCGAAGGGACACCGAGGCTGGGTCAGTCAAGGTCACCCGTTCTTTACTCTACCTGAGGTCAGAGGTGGCTCAGGGCTGGGAGGACATGGGGGCAGGTGGAGGGGGTCACACAGAGCCCCACCCCTTGGCACCTGGGGCCCTCGCTACCTGAAGGGGGATCTCCTTTGGGAGGTGGCAGACAGCGTCATCTCTGTCACTCCTCAAAGCCAGACAGAGGCCTGGACTGAGTCTGAGGGACTGATGTGTCATCACACTCATCTTTCCTGTGGTCTTCGGCCCCCGGGGCCCCATGAGCACCAGGGGGTCTGGGGTAAGGCCGGGAGGCGATGCCCAGCCCGGCCCGGCCCAGTCCGGCTTCTGGGAAGGAGCAGAGGGGCCGCCACTCACCGCGGTGCGCCCTGGGGCATCTGGTCCTTGACGCGCAGGTTCTTGGCCAAGATCTCCACCCGAGGGCCCTGGAAAGAAGGAAAAACCAGGCTGGGGTCTCTGCGAGTGCTCGGGACCCCTGAGGCACGTTGTTGGGTTGACAGGAGGCCCCAGACACTCGGGTCCTGGGTCCCCTTCAGGCAGGGAGAAGGCCAAGTCTGAGGCTGACAGCCACCCAGTCCTGAGATGGCCCCTCCCACCCCCCAGCCAAAAGAGCACACCAGCCCCGCCCAGGACACCCAAAGCATCTGCCACTCACCTGCTTGCGCATGATGTCCGTGGCCTGCATGATGCACTTGGGCAGCAGCCCATGGCTCCGGGCCAGGATGGCCGCCTGCTCCAGGGACACGCTCAGGGTGCTCCTGCCGCAGGAGTGGAGGGCAGGTGAGGCATGACAGGCCGCTTCCAGCCCCCACAGCGCCCCAGACCTCGTCTCATCATCAGAACCGTATCTCCTGCCACAGTCCTCAGGCCGCAGACAGCCCCTCTTTGCACACTGGCCTTCTCGTCCTCAGCTGCCTCCTCCCTGCCAGCTCACTCCTCCTCCTCCAGGCAGCTGCCCACCTCGGGGGCAGGTATCCTGCGGCTTCCTTGCCTGCACCCCCCAGTGAGCAGTGCCACACAGTTGGGGCCTTGCTGGGTTCTCTGGGACACCCCGGGCCTTGTTCGGAGGACTTGGTAAACACTTGGAGAGGGAGCGTGTGGGGTGACCCTGGAAGCCCCAAGACTTGCCGCCAGAGTTTGAGGGGGACGCACTGATCCATCTCTCACCAGGATCCCGGGCTGTTCTAGAACGTGGCTCTGCGGCCAGACCTCTTGTCCCCCACAAAGCCCCAATCCCTGACTATAAAGCGGGAGCGCTAACAGAGCCCTCTGATGCCATGGTGTCCCAGGCAGTTGGGAGGTCCCCAGCCCCCACCCACTGGCTGAAGCACCTCCATCCCCCCAGCTGGGACAAAAGAAGTCTCCAGATGCTGCCAGACGAGCCCTGGAGGGTAAAATCGCCCCTGGCTGAGGACCCCTACAGCAGGCCCTGCACGTGGCTTGCTGCAGGGAGGTGGGAGTGGGGAGATGAGTCGACCCACGAGGATATTAACAGGGAGGCCGGCCGTATCATTGCTGCCTGCTGAGATGGGCTGGGCCCTACCCTGCTCTGGGACCCAGCAGGGAATAAATCGGCCCCTGCCCTGGGGTAGGCGGGGGAAAAAACAGACCCCCCAGTGATGGGTGAAGATGTGGGCAGAGAGGGCGCGGGTTGAAGCAGGGAGATCAGGGAAGGCTTCATGGAGGTGACATCCCTTTCCCTGGGACGAGCAGTGGGGGCGAAGGCCAGAGGTGGGAGGCGTCCGGGGAGGCCAGGAGGCCAGGTCTGCCCGGTGGACAAGCAACTGCTATCGTGTCAAATGAAGGTTCCAGCACAACCACACTGCCTGACCCCAGGCACACGGGCCACGCGGCCAGAGAAGCAGGCCATCCCACAGTGCTCCGGGGTCCCCTGCGACTGAGTCCCATTTCACAGACAGACAAACTGAGGTCCGGGGAGAGCAGGGGCCGTGGCTGGCTCCACAGACACAGGGAGAACCGGGATTCGAACCCAGCCTTCCTGCCCCCCGGCCCGGACCCCCACATGGCCCAGAGACGCGGCCAGCCCCTCACTGCAGCCAGCCTCACCTCTGCATGCCGGAGCCGCACATGGCGATCTGGCAGGCGCCCAGGCGGTAGCAGAGCTCCGAGGAGAGGGGGATGAGGCTGGCACCCGGGCTCCCGCCGGCGCCGGGCTTGGGGTGGACCAGGGCCTTCAGGAGACGGCAGAGCTCATCCAGGGCGTTGATGGGGCGGATCAGCTGCAAGGTGTGCGAGACGCGCCGGGACGTTGTGGGAGGGGTACTGGGCCCCCCGGCCTTGCCCCAACCCGGCTCTGCTCCGGCGGCTGCCTCCCAGCTCGCCCGCAGGGGTTGCAGTCCAGCTCAACCTACGATGGCCTCCGCTCAAGAAGCATAGGTGGCTCCCCCAGGTCCGACAGGCTGGCATTTGGGGCTCACCACAGGCTGCAGGTCTAAGCTTCCACCCTGATTCTCCCCAACTGCCCAGCAGCGTCCCCAACCAAGCCTTCTGACCCACCGTGCCCCGCCCAAGCGCCCTCCCCAAGGAGAGCCTTCCCGTCTATCCCCAGCCCTCCTCGACCACTGCATGCAGGCACAAGTGGCGGTTCACTCCCTGTGCCACCCTCATACTCCACCCACCAGACCAAAAACAGCCCCAGAGCCACTCTGCCCAGAGCCCCCGCTTCACAGTCCCGAGGAGCACCCCGAAGCCATTGCCAGAGGCTGGGGGAGCCCAGGGGACCACAAGACAAGAGGGGCACGTCATGGTAAGAGGCAGGGAGCCCGGCAGCCTGAGCCAGCTAGACCCCTTGGGACACGTGGGAGCGTGTGCTGACAGCCGGATCCTTCCATGCCTAGAGAAAACCTGGGAGCCTCCATTTTTGCAGGAAATCTTTTGATTTCCAAATGTTGGCCACAAATTCAAAATAAAACAAAAAAAAACACTGCCCGGGCCGCATCTGGAGTGCGGTCCACAACTGACCTGTATGGGTTCTAGCTCACGGAAATGCTGGCACTAGGAACCATGGGAATGGCACAGGCAGGCAGGTACCAGGAAAATAAACCATCCCAGGAATTTTGAGAAGGTTGTGGAGCTATCCAGGAAGACTTCCTGGAGGAGGGACTGCAGGAACTCGCGATTTCTCTGCCAGGGCACCACCTTGGGCCTGTCTGCTGGGTCCTGACCCTGAGAGCCCGTGCCCGCCCAAGTTCCTGGGGTAGAGGGAGGCAGGGCGGGCGCACCTGGTCTATCTTCACTGCTGTGGTGCTGGCGTCCGTAGGCAGGTTGGACCGTTCCAGGTAGAATGCCCTGGAGGAGGAAGATGGGGCTGAGGGTGGGGCCGCCACACCCACCGCCTCCCTGCCTCTACCTGGGTCTCAGCAGCCGTGCTGCTCCACCCTCCTCGCAGTCCTCCTTTGAAGCCCAACAGACCCGAGTTCGAAGCTCAGTCATTGCCTGCCTGCGTGACCCTGGGCAAGCTGTGTATGCTCTCTGGACCTGTCTCCTCGTCTGTAAAGTGGGTTAGAAGGGCCTACTGCTGTGAGACTCTCATGCAGGCAAAAGGCCTGGCACACAGTAGGTGCTCAAGAGAGGGTGTTTCCCCACTGGGGGTCTGTCTGGCACTCTCTGTGCTGGTGGCCACCCCTGGAAGTTTCCTGACCCCCAGCAGAGACCCCAGGCAGGTACCTGAGCTTGCGGTAATACTGCTGAACTTTCTCCAGGGACTGAGCATTGATCTCCTGCTGCAAATCTTCCATGGCCTGGCTGCCTGGAGGAGGTAGCCCCTCCACATTCTCCAGAGCTGTGAGGGAAGACGCAAGAGGGTGTGTGGCTGGGTTCCAGTGTGCTTGGTGACCTTGGCCCGTCCCCACAGCCCCGCCAGACGCCAAAACTCACCTTTCGTGAAGAGCACAGTGTGCAGCCTCAGGCTGGCCCCACCCTCCAGGCGCGAAGGCAGCTTGGAGAAGTGGTAGCTGTCGAGGTAGAAGATGACCTTCAGGGCCTGCCGGCTGCCCTCGATGTGGTAGCAGACGTTGGTATCTGCGGAAGGACATGGCGGGGCTGGTCAGCACCCGGGGTAGGGGTGGCACGCATCGCCAAACAGCAGACCTCCCTGCCGGAGCTCCAGTTGGCCTCCTGGGACCGCTCTGCTCTCCCCACTCCAGAGGAGTAGCCTCAGACAACCCCGGCCTCCCACCCCCAGGGGTAGCCTCGGCCCTCCTGCCCTCTCACCCTCAGGGTAGCCTCAGCCCTCCCTTCCCCCCACCAAGGGTAGCCTCAGACAGCTCCAGCCTCCCACACTTGGAAGAACATCCTCTGACTCCTCCCTTATGCCGACTTCTACAGGTCCTAGTTTCCACTGCCGAATTCTGGGACCTGACACTGACTCTGCCCCTGGAGAGTCTGCAGCATCTGTCTCCAGAGCCTCCCCAGTGCTTCTTTTACCCCTCCCCTCTCCAGGGAGCCCAGGGCCCTCCCCGGGAAAAGCTGCCCCAAACAGGGTCTGCATCGTATTCATGCCTCTAAGGAAGAGCTTAGGGCAGGGGTGGTCAAATACGGCACCCAGACCCCTCCTACACCTGTGGCAGTCATCACTAATGGATCACTACTCTGCCTGGGGCCCCACCCAGCCTAGTAGGCATCACTAATTGATCACAGCTCTGTCTGGGTCCCATTCAGCCTAGAGACAGGCAGTCATTACCAATCAATTCCAACTGGTACCTGAAAAAAGTCTGTCCTCCACTAGACCAAGTGATATTGCCTGAAGGAGGTGAAATTGGTCCTTGAGAGAGAGGGCAAAAAACCTTACTCTTGCAATGTATATGCACAGATACCTGTCAAATTAAGATTGCACAGGGAGGCAGCAATTGGGAAGAAATTGACTAGAAAGGCTTTTTATGAGATGAAATGGAACTGATAGAGAAGCATGCACCAGAGCCGTGGTCCTTAGCCAGCATGCTTAGACTTGCCTGAGGGGCTTGACAGCACCGACCTTTGGGCTCTCCCTCTAGCTTTGGGTACCATGGGTCCGGGGTGGGGCCCGGGAATTCATCTTTCTAGCAAGTCCCTGGGCGCTGACGGCCGGGAGCCACACAGACCCAGCACTCCATACCAAGCCCGGTGGCTCTCGGGCCGGCTGCCTGTGCAGGTCACCCGGCGCGTTATCCTGGGACCCACTGCCCAGGTCCTGCCACAAACTGACCAGAGTTGCCAGGGACTGGGGATTCTGCAAAGCTCCCCAGAGGATTCCAGCATGCAGGCAGAGCTGAGACCCCAGAGCTCGACCATGAGCCACAAAAGGGCAGCAACCACACCGCCTCTCTCTCCACTCAAGAGCTCCTGACTTTGCCCAGCACATGCTGCAAGCTCGTAACTAGGGGTGTGTGGGAGGGTGGAAGGATGGGTGGGAGGAAGAAAATAAAAAAACTCGGTTAATTATGGAGTAAGCACTTATAAAATCTGAAGTCCTTGCCCCAAAGAAGACATCTCAAGGGAAGAATTTCAGTGGGAACTGGGTACTGGCTGCCGTTCTCTTTTTACTTTTTTTTTTAATAGACAGAGTCTTGCTCTGTCACCAGACTGGAGTGTAGCGGCACGATCAAGGCTCACTGCAGCCTTGAACTCCTGGGCTCAAACAGTCCTTCTCCCTCAGCCTCCCAAGTAGCTGGGATTACAGGCAGGCCGCCATGCCTAATTTTAAATTTTTTGTTTGTTTGTTGGTTTGTACAGATGGCATCTCACTATGTTTCCCAGGCTGGTCTCGGAGTCTCAGGCTCAAGCGATCCTCCCAAAGTAATTCTCAACCTCCCAAAGCACTAAAATTATAGGCATGAGCCACTGTGCCCAGCCTGCCATCCTCCTTGAAGAGCTGCTGGAGACAGCTGGATTCACACAAGAAACCCCTCCTTTTCCACCTGTGCCCCTAAGTCCAGCTTTGAGCCTCATGACGCTGGACAGCAGCTGGGTCAGACACAGGGGACAGACCATAGTAGGGGGTGGGAAAATCACTCACTGGCAACACAGTTCTCGTCCAGCTGCTTAAAAGAAAAGGTGACGGTGTCCAGCTCCGACAGGGTCACCCAGAGGTCCTCCAGCATGGTCCGTTCCTCCTTCTGCAGCAAGAAGCGGGGGGAGGGACCTCAGATGCCACCCCTGCCCCGGGGTGTCGAGACGCTGCAATTCAACTCTGGTCGACACTCCAGTCTGCGGGCTGAGGTGCCGAGGCCTGCCCGTGAATCTCCAGAGTGGATGCAAAGTCATAGTTTGCTCTGGCTGGTCCTAATGAACCTCCCCAGGGCCAGAACCCACCTCTGCCTTGATTTGCTGTGGAGTCGCCTCCTATCCGACCTGGACGGCCATATCCGGCTTTCCACAACCATTTCAAACCTAGCGCGCCCACAGAACAGTCCATTTCCTTCCTCAACCTCCCCCGTGGGCCCCATCGCAGCAAATGGCCCGAGCACTCACCCAGTTGCCCAGGCTCCAAGCCTTAACAGCTTCTCACCTACTCTCTCCTCATCTCCTCTCCCTTCACCCCTGCACAACCACCACCAAGTCCCACTGGGCCTCCAGCACATCCCGGATCCATCCGCCCCCCCTTCAATTCCCAGTCACTCCTGAGTTTAAGGTATCACGGTCTCTCACCAGGATAACCATGCCTGGTGTCCCTTCGGCCACCTTCCACCCCCAAACAACCCACCCCACTACAACGGCAAGTCGTCTTTTGAAAACTTAACCAGATTCTATCACCCGACTGCCCTGAAGCCTCCGAACCCTCCTCTGCTCCCAGGAAAAAGCCCCAGGCCCTATAGATGCTGCCGGCCAACCTCATCTCCCAAGTCCCCAGCCTGGCTCCTGCTGGCCACACGGCCAGTTCCAGGCCTTTGCACACGCTGTCCCCTCTTCCTCGGACTATTCACGTGGCTGGCCGAGGTCTCCGTTCAGCTCCCACCTTCCCAGGAAGGCCGTCTCTGACCCCCCCATCCACAGACATTCCTTCCCCTCCAACTTTTCCACGTGCCCTTCCCTTCCTCCGCTGGCCTTCCTTATCAGCATCAGACACCCCCAGCACCCACCTTCAGAAGGTGGGGCTGGCTGTTCCCGGCTGCCTCTTCCCAGGACCCAGGCAGGCGCTGTGTGCAGCAGCAGCCAGCAGAGGGCGCGCCAAGGCCACATTCCCCATCCACCCGTGGAAGGGGCTTCCGGGCCCACCTCGAGGGAGGGCACTGCAGACACGTGGGCCCCATGGATGTTCAGCAGATCCCCAGCCTCTACCCCCACTCACCCCACGTCCTCACTTGTCACAACCAAAAGCATCTCCAGACATGCCAAGTGTCGCCTGAGGGTGCAGCTGCGCTGGGCCGAGAACCACTAGTCTATATCATTTATTTTATGCATCCATGCTCATCTCCCTGGCATGACAAGAAGATCCCTGCATACAGGGACTCTCTGTTTTGTTCGCGGCTGGACCCCCAATGCCCACCATGGCCGTGCACACAGTAGGTGCTCGTGAACAACTGGGCGAGTGGGAGTCTGACCAACGCAGGGCCTCCCTCCCTGCCACCCACCCACTCACCACGGCCGGCGAGAGCAGGGACTGGCAGTGCAGCAGGGCACCCGTGGCCGCCACCTGCTCCAGCCACTTGCGACTGGCATCACGGCTGCTCTCGTCGTACTCGCCGTTGTTGTTGTAGCGGTAGCTGAGGGCGGCCAGCAGCTGCTCGGAGAAGGCGCACACGGCAGCCACTAGCACCTGGCAGAAGATGGCATCCCGGCGCAGCTGCAGCTCTGTGTCTGGGGCAGAGGGGGGAAGGGAGCCTCGCTGGGGTGGCCCCATGGGGCCACGCCTCAAAGCCCCCTTCAAAAAGCTCAACGCAGGCCCAAATTTAATTCCAGGTGGATATCCCAGCCCCAAAATGCCAATCCCACAAAAGCCAGTCTCCAGAAGCAAGGCACTTACCAAAGCCTCGCCCCTCGATGGCCCATCCGTGTTTCTCCTAAGGCCCTTCCCAAACCCTCCCCTTCAGCTGCGTCTCCGCTTGCCACAGGATGCCTGGCCTCGAATGCCAAGACACCAAGCTCTTCTGCCAAGCTCCGCATCTGAAGAAATGCAGCTGACCGTTCTCTCTACCTGTGAGAACGATGCTTTCTTCCTGCCCCACCTCTGCCCTTGCCCCTAGCCTTAACCTTGGCATGGTTTGAAGAACTGGCCAATGTCAGAAGTTGGTCTTTCAGGGTCCCAGTCTTCCAGAAGGAACTATTTTCAATGACCAGCTTCTGGCCAAGGGGTTTTTAGTAGCCAATTTTGACCTAGGTCCTATCGTAGCTCTACTCGGCTGAGACTTTCTGGAAAGAAGGCTGGGACCAAGAAGGTCTTCAGGATTCCCAGGCCCACCCTTCAGCCACTTACTCCTTCCCGTCATCTGCTGGGGCTGAGGCTCTACTGGCAAACAGCCTCCCTAATCACGGCCTCTACCCCTGGATCCCTGTCAGCACAGCCCAGGCCTGGAGGGTGGTGCAGGATGGGCCTCCCTTGGCACACAAGGAAGAAGCACAGTTCAAGCAGCTCTTGGGGGGCTGGAGGCCAACGTGCTGCTCCTCCCGTCAGGATCTGATGGCCCACGGAGAGTCAGCCTTGGCCAGCAGAAGTGGCCTTGCCTGGGCTGTGGGCATGCCCTGCCAGGATGGTCTCTCTGAGACACACCTGCAAAGTCCTCACCTGTGCACTTCAGCAAGGCCAGGAGCAGCTGGTTCTTCCCGTCTGGAGAAAGAAGGGAGGGAGAGGGAAAGGGGGAGGGTGGGCTGAGAGGAGGCAGCAGAAGAGGAGGCCAGAGCTGGGCCCTCCCAAGCCCAAGGGTCCGGATCCTTCACGCCAGAGCTCTGGGTACACAGGCTCGCTCAAGAAGCTCCTGTTGAATGTGAGGCAAATTCCAGACCCCCGGATGCTGGGGAGCAGAACCCCACTGTAAGCCTTGTCTGTTCATATGTACCCGCAGGACAGAGACAGAACCAGCCCCAAAACTCCTGGGCCATAGCCCCTGCCCTGAACCTTGTCCACGCATGTGTGGGAACACACACACACATGCATATACACAGACACACACACATCTGTGTGAACACACACACACACACTCAAGTGCAGCCTCACACACACATGCACATCCTACAGTCACAGTCCTACACATGTGCAGAAAAGGCTCATTTCTTCCAGAGAAAGGCCTAATACCCTGGTCTCCTTCTGAAAAGATGCTCCCAGGCCTAGAAAGGACTTCAAGAAAGACTGGAAAAACCTTTGGATTGAGTCTTGTGAGGAAACTTCTCCCTGGAAGGACATGTAAGACTCGGAGCTGGCATGGCAGCGATGATGACAGTGTACCCCCAGGACACACCACAGGCCAAGCAGCGTGCCAAGTGCCCAGTGTGTGCTGAAGGCTTAATCCTCCCTGCATGTGAGGAAGGGGCACGATAAGCCTACTTCACACATGCAGATACTGAGGCCCAGTGGAGTCACGGAACCTGCCAAGATCACCCAGCCAACGAGTGGGTGAGCTGGAATTTGAGCCCAGCTGGTCTGGCTCTGAAGTCCATGCTCTGACCCCATCAGTTTTGGAGAATGGGACAGCTCAGGGCCAGCCTGGACTCCATCTCAGAGGCTCTATTCCCCAGGGGCATGGTCCAGAGTCCCCGTACCTGCCGTCCTGGGCAAAGGCCTCCCTGGCCTGATCCTTCTCACCCAGGAGTCCTGGACTCAAATACCGACAAGCACCAGACAGGGCGCGTGAGGCGTGGAGCAGCCACCAGGCTGCGGGTGCAATGGGGATTGCAGTGAACCGAAAGCCCCTGCCCGTCCTGAGAGAGTGGCAGTCACTCCTTGCCGGCAGAGTGGGGATGCCAGCAGAGTGGGGACGTGGCCGGCAGGCCTGGGCTCGCCCCATCTGGGTGGTCAGGAGCAGCCAGAAACCCCAACGTTTATGTGGGATCCCCAGCTATGAGCACCCGCAGCTGCCACTTCTAAACCCATAGGCGTGGGCCCAAGCCTGGTCAGCGGCCGCCAGCCTGCGACCCTGATAATAAACAGAGGAACTGAACCAAATCTGCAGCTTGGGGGGCTGAGAGAGAACAAGTTCAGCCGATTCAGCCTCCTGGCTCGACAAGGGAGCCTCAGGGTCCCAGGCATGCCCTGCGGAGAGGATGCTGCTCCCCTCATCCTCCCCTGGACATGAAGAGTCAAGGACACAGAGAGTCCACATTCAGGACCAAAGGCCACAGACCCCCACGTGACACATCTTCCCTGCCCACTGACCTTCCACGTATCTCTGAATGTTGTCCACCAGGGTCTTGATGGAGTTAGGAAGGTTCCAGGGGTCCTCCTGGATGCTGATCTGGATCAAGCTCCGGCCACGGATTGTACACTCTTCTTTCTGTTTGAACTCTGGAGCAGGAAAGTGCCATGAGGGCCAGGAAAGGGCCAGAGGTAGCTTTGGAGAATGGTGGCACAAAGGCCACCCTTGTCTCATCATATAGTCCAAAGCTCATAATCCTAGATCAAGGAAGCCAACAGAACTTTGGGTATTACCTGGTCCAAGAAGGGCAAATACATGGTAAACGCTACTACTTCATGGTACCACACCCGTGGCAAACATCACTAATCAGTCTCAGTACTCCTCTCTGCCGGTCTGAGGCCAGGGCTCCCCACAGACACCACCAATTCAGTGCAGGCCTCACCAATCAATCACAGCACTCTTTTCTCCTAAGTCTCAATGCTGCAGCCACAGGAGTCTAGGTACTGCCTCCTCATAGCCACAGCCAACAGAGCTGGCACATGACTTGTAACTTAGCCTAACCTTTTCCCTACACAAAGAAGGAAGTCAAGGCACAGAGTGGGAAAGTGGCTTGCCTTAAGTCACACAGCTAGGTAGTGTCAGGGCTGGGACTTGACTCTGACCCCAGCAGGACTATTCAAAGGTCAGAAAGACACAGGCCCCCCTGCTCCTTTGGCCTCATCCCTCCCACAGGGTCCCAACTTCTGGGATATGTGTGGTTTTGGTTCCTCTGGGTTTGCTGTTTCTCCTTTCTGAGCTTCACCCCTGGGAGAGGTAACCCTGAGACGGCAGGAGGGGTAGCTGAGTTGGGGTGCCCAACTCAGGGTCTCGCTCTGTCGCCCAGGCTGGAATGCAGTGGTGCAATCATAACTCACTGTATCCTCGAACTCCTGGCCTCAAGCAATCCTCCTGCCTCCGCCTCCCAAGTAGCTAGGACTATAGGCATAGACCACCACACCTGGCTAATTTTTTAAGTTTTTTTGTAGGTGGAGTCTTGCTATGTTACCCGGGCTGGTCTCAAGCTCCTGGCCTCAAGCAATTGTCTCACCTCAGTGTCCCAAAACACTGGGATTACAGCTACGAGCCACTGTGCCCAGCTCCTCACCACTTTCTACCCTAACTTAAGGCCAACTCTCTGTCTGCATTCCTGTTTCCTGCACCCAGGTGGGTGACCTCCTTGAGGTCAAATTCACCTCAGGGTCTCCAGGGCCAGCCCAAGGCCTGGTGTAAGCTGGTTCTGGGGATTTGTTTACCGGATGTGAATATGTGGACAGATGGGTGGGTAGATGAACGGATAAGTAGGTGGATGAGGGGACATGCATCAATGGACAGATGGATGGGTGGGTGGACAGATAGGCAGGTGGGTGGGTGGATGGATGAGTAGGTGAGTGGAGGGTAGGTGAGTAGACGGATGGATAGTAAGTGGGTAGACAGAAGAATGAGTAGGTGGGTGGAAAGATGGATGGTGGGTGAGTGGATGGATGGATGGTCTGTGCTCCATACACAGGGAGTTTAATAAGGCCCTCTCAAAATTACAGTTTTGAAAGGAAGATACTTTTCCTTTAAGTGACATCAGTAATAATACAGGGATCAAATGCGCTGCACTTTTTAAATGTGAAGGAGTAAGTCGATTCTGTGACTATAACTCAAATGCTAGTGGTATGACGTCAGAGGTTTGGCAAATGTGCTCCAGGCCTCCCCTCACGTGTCGCCATGGGCAGACCTGGAGATGTCCTGGTTCCAGCCCAGGGCTCACACCAAGTCCTGTGTAAAAAGCCAGACAGTAACGATCACAGGCTGTGCAGGGCCTATGGTCCCTTGTTATGTAGTCTGTTTTCTGCTTGTTGTGTTTTTACAATCCTTCAACAAAAAAAATCATTCTTAGCTCAGAGTCTGCATAAAAGCAAGCCACAGGCCACGGACTGAAATATTCTGGCCCCTGGGCAAGCCCGCAGTCACCCAGCAAAAGAGGGACAGGGCTGAGTGTGTGCCTGGGTGTCCATCCCTGGCGCAGGCAGACTCCGTGCTGGACCCTAGGCATCCCTCACCTTGCAGGCTGTGGTCCATGGGGAAATGCTTGGTCTCTTCGAAAGCCCTGCTCATGACCGGCCCCTTGAGAAGGGCGTTGATGGAGTCCACCTGGCGGAAAGAGACTGCAGGTCAGTATGGATCCGCATTCCTCCAGACTGAGGGGACCTGGGACCCATGGCCCTTACCCATCCGCATCCCTGGGCTCTCACCAGAGGTGAAGGAACCCAAGTCACACCCAGGCCGAGGCCAAGGTCCTACCTGGTTAAAGAGATGCTCTAGGCAGCCGTGGAGCTTGTCCTGCTTGTCTGACGGGATCCGCATGTCACAGGGCAGCTCGTCACCTAGCAGGGGGAAGAAGCGGCGACCATCAGCCATTCCTGCCCCCCTCACACGTTCCCAGCCTCTTTCCCAAGAAGGCAAATACAGCGATGGAGCTCCAGGCCCACACGGGATCTGGAGTCTGAAGACTGGGTTCTGGTTGAGCCCCAGGGCAAAGCCCTCCACCTCCCTGAGCCTCAGTTTCTTCCTCTGCAAAATGGGCGACAGGCACTAACACATCACAAGAGCTTAAGGCAGTGTCACTATTTCATCCAGCAAAGGAGGAGACCGAACAGCAGAGAGAAGGAACCAGATCCCCTGTCTCCTGACCCATCACCCAGCTGGTTCCGTTACACCAGCTGCACACAGGCTCCTTCTCAGAACCTCCCAGGAGGACTTTTCAGGCTGACTGTCTCGTGTCTTATGTGACGAAATCTTCATCTAACATTCAGCAGTTTCTTCCATTTTAATTCAGCTTCCTTTTCTTCTGTTAAGTTGAGGCACGATAAAATCAAATGTTTGTGTCCAGACTACCTTCGGAAGAACACGCAAGACGGTGGTGACCCTGGGACTGTGGCGACAGCCTGTGAGCCCAGGGTGGGAGGAGCCCCGTCCCATGCCCCCTCGTGCCTTTCAAGGCATGAACAGTGCAGACCCACCCGCCAAGTGAATTTTGTAGAAGTCTGAGGGGAACGAGACTCAGATAAAAACAAATTTCAGGCTTTCGGTAAAAGCTGCAAGCAGAGTATGATCCAATTTATACACTATTTATGTCTGTCTGCCCATCCACCCACCCACATGTCCATCTGCACATAAATACGCCCTCACTGAAAACAACTTCAAATATCGACAAAGGTCACTTCGGGGGAGACAATGAGGTCCTGATCTTTACGTGCTTCTTTCTGCTATTTCTGTGTGGTTTTTTTTGTTTGTTTTGCTTTTTTTTTTTTTAGTAACAAGGTCTCACTGTGTTGCCCAGGCTGGTCTTGAACTCCTGGGCTCAAGCAAGGAGCATGAGCTCTCTCAGCTTCCACAAGTACTGGGAGGACAGATGTGAGCCACCACGCCTGGCCATATTTTTATGAAGTCCTTTTGAACTGTTCCATGTCATGTGGATTTCTAGTTTGAGCATGTGTCATTTTTGTGGCAACATCACGCACCCTATTTAGTGACATCAATTCACTCATTCCAAATACACATCACATGTGATCGCACTCTACCGCACAGCATGGCATCACGTGTAGTTTTATTTGCCCGTATCCATGACCTTCACAGAGAACATCAGGTCCATGAGGCTGGAATCTCTGTTTCACTCCCTGTTGTGTTCCTAGCACCCACATGCTCAATAAGTATGTGCTGAATGAGCCAGTGGAAGGGAATAAAGGACAATACTACGCAACAAAACACAGAATAATAGAATGCACAGTATAATCAAACAAAAACCAAATAAAACCATGCCAGGGCTGCTCTCCCCAGGCACGTCTGCCCACTCACCAGACCCCATCTCATCGCTGCCCAGATAGGAGCTGTTGCTTCTCACACTGGTGTAGGACAGGACCGAGTCCCGGTTGCTGTTACACTCACTGCAAAGGGGCCGAGAGAAGGGGCCGAGTCACACTCCAGCTCACATCTGCTGGTCCCGGCACTTGGAACTCACTTTCTGGAGTGTAGGCAAAACCCCTGAGCCCTCCTATGGACAGCCAGTCCAGAGACGGAACCGAGGCCTGACCACCAGCACCAAAGACAGGGAAGGTTGGCCCAGTCAGTTTTCCATGTTTGGGAGGAAACATATCTGGGCTCCAGCACAGGAAGGCAGAAATAGCAGGAGGTTGGGTACTTGTTTGCACGTGGATGTCACTCTGCCCAGCGTCCCCAAAGGACAGCCTTGCCCTGGACACCTCCCAGGTCACACTTGACCATACGACTGCGTCTTCTGTCTGTACAGTCTTGGGGGAAACCTCGTGAGGACAGAAGACCGAACCTGACTCACGACATCCCAGGAACTGAGAAGGTACAAGATTCAAAAACCACAATCCTGAGATTCTTTCCTTCACCTTTTTGACAATTTGTGGAAAAATCAGCGGACCCAAAATGTAAGAACGAAAACCCAGATGGTGAAGTCTGGCTCCAAGGAGGAGCCAAGTGCAGAGGCAGCCAGGACGTCTTGTGACACAGACACCAGGAAGGCAGGACACGGTGGGCAGCCAGAGCCCTTGAGGACTGAGGGAAGGTCAATGCTGGGCGGACTGGGTGAAGGCCTGTCTTGTAGAGTTACATTAGTTCAGGCTTATGCCTGTGATCAACAGAAGGCCTCTCTAAGACTACCTTACTGGCCGGGCTCGGTGGCTCAGTCTGTAATCCCAGCACTTTGGGAGGCCGAGGTGAGTAGAATGCCTGAGCCCACGGGTTCGAGACCTGCCTAGGCAATTTGGTGAGACCTCATCTCTACAATAAAAAAAATTAGCCCGGCATGGTAGCATGCACCTGTAGTTCCAGCTGCTTGGAAGGATCGCCGGAGCACAGCAGGTCAAGGCTGTGGTGGCTGGGAGCGTGCCACTGCACTCTAGTCTGGGCAACGGAGTGAGACTCCGACTAAAAAAAAAAGACTATCTTATTGAGAGTGGTCAAATGCTCTACCACCTTCTGGGTGCTCGGACCATAGTGCTTGTTTATTTGTGGCAAGAAATTACAACTATCTATTACATGGTTTAGAATAGGAAACTGAGTCTTAGTCTACTAATCCAGTAACTAAGATTGCACTGATCTTGTTATAATTAATTTAATCAGTAGAAAAACAATTCAGGCTGGGCACAGTGGCTCAAGCTAAGATGGGAAGATTGCTTGAATCCAGGAATTCGAGACTAGCCTAGGCAACATGGCAAGATCTTATCTTTAAAAAAAAAATGTGTTTTAATTAGTTGGGTGTGGGGGCATGTACCCGTAGCCCTAGCTCCTTGGGAGGCTGAGGTGGAAGGATTGCCTGAGCCCAGGAGGTTGAGGCTGTGGTAAGCTGTGATCGTGCCATTGCACTCTATAGTCTGGGCAACAGAATGAAACCCCAACTCAAAAAAAAAGGAAAGAAAGAAAAAACAATTCAGATCCAGATCCTCAATTGAAAGAGAAGAAAAAAAAAATCTTGCTCTTTGAGTCAAGTAAAAATGAAGCATCTTATACTGAGTTTTGAAACACACAGTATGTATCCTGACCTTGACCTTGTCTTTGACAACACATCAGGGTGTATGGACGTGATGCTGAAGCAGGACAGAGGGTGTCTACATGGGATGGGCCCTGAAGCGTCGCCTTCAGGGTAGGGACGCCCAAGTGGCTGTTCTGGGATGTGCTTTGGGGGCTCAGATAACCCCCCAGAACCACACCATTAGGAACAGTGCCCCAATCCCACTGTACCCTGAGAAATGTCCCATGGGTCCGTGGCCTTGACAGTCCCACTGGCCACCACATCCGCCCCGGGCCGCCCAGGGCCACACCCACCTGTAGGAGTCGCGGTAGCTCATGGTGTCATGGCCCGAATCCTCCTGCTCCTCCTCGGACACCTTGAAGCACACCTTCTTGATGCCCCCGTGGTCGGTCCGGTCCATCTCACTCTCTTCACTGACCAGCGGGGAGGAAGAGGCCTCCTCGGCCAAGAGCGGGTCGCAGGAGGCCCCCGAGGTGGGCTCTGTGATGGTGGACAGCAGCCTGTGGAGGACAAACCTTGACGTCAAGACACAGGCCCAGCCCTGTGTCCTTTCTTCAAGCATCCTGCCAGTGTGGTCCCTCCTGTGGGGGTAGTGGCACACAGGTTCCTACTTCATGGCCAAACTACACAGGCTCTGTCTGTAGAACATGCTGGAAGCTTTGTCCGAAACACCCTGAGAGCAAATCCTTCCAGTTCTGGGGGCTGTAAGGTCCCAGATACACCCACTCAACCCTGTTATCGCAGCATGAAAGCACTGTGGAGTGCATGCAAGCACATAGGCCTGGCTGTGTTCCAATAAAACCTTATTAAAACCAACAGGCAGTGGGCTGAGTTTGGCTAATGGGCCAGAGCTGGTCACTCTCTGGCATAGAACGAGGTACAGGTTTTGTCAGCTCCTTGTGTGATGGGGAAAAAAAGGAAAAAAAGTTAAAAAAAAAGAGTCTAGGTTTTGAAGTCAGAGAGACCCAGAGCCAAACCCCGATACTGCCAATTCCGAGCTCAGAGATCTAAAGCAAATTATTTAAACACCCTGAGACTCGGTTTCCTTGTGTGTGAAATGGAGTGACATTAGCACCTACATCCAAGGCTTCTGTGGAGACAGAGAGAGTTGAAACAAATGCTCAGAAGAGGGCCTGACACCTCCCAAGTGGTCAGTGACCACGGCTAGACCCAACCCCGCCACAGCTCTGTGAGGTCAGTGTCGTGGTTAGCCCCATTGGAAACCAAGGCTCAGAGAGGTTAAGTGACCTGCCCAAGGTCACATAGCTGACATGGAGCAGGGCTCCCTGGTTCCAAAGCCTACATTCCTTTTTCCTTTGTCATGGAAAGTTTCCATCATACACAAAAGTAGAGAACAGTGCACCCCAGTGTCTGGCATCAGCAGCCAGCTTCAGCCACGGTGACCCTGGGATCCCTGCTTCCTGCTTCTCCTATCACGCTTGCTTTTACCAGATAAAAATGGGAAATGTTTAAATGTTCATTTAAAGCAAGCCTAAGATGCCATACTATTTCTCCATATGTACTTCCGTATGTGTCTCTAACACATAATGACTTTCTTCTAAGACAGTGGGTCTCTCCTGGGGGCAACTGTGCCCCCCATGAAACAGTGAGCTATGTCCAGGGACACTCAGCTGTCACAGTTGAAGGGGACGGTGCTATCAGCATCTCGCAGGCAGGGCCCAGACACTACTGAACACCCTCTCACATGGGACAGCTCTACCAAATACTCACTGGCATCGCAGCTGGAAACACGGTTTTCAACATAACCCCAATGCTCTTGCTGGGCCTAACACAATCCCCTACTCCTGCTGCCAGCGAGCCCCCAGTCTGTGTTCCAATGTCTCTAGCTGTCCCGGACACGTCTCCTCCCAGATCCCTAACTGGGTCCAGATGCTGCAACTAGCTCACCCGTCCCTCGAGGCTCTCCCGTTTCTAACGCCCCTCCTCCTTCCACCTGTTCCCCACCTGACACAGGAACAGGGCCATTTCTTGTGTCAAATCGACCCCCTCTGGACAGACCGAGGCCTTCCCAGGGCGCCACATACCCACCCACTGCCCCACCCTAGAGCCAGGAGACCTCAAGTGTTCACTAGACGGGGGCTCCCCTCCTGCTGGCAAGAGCACTGTGGGGGGCACCGAGCGTGTCCAGTCGCCTTATGGCAAAGGGACACGGTGTCCAGCTGTGCTTCTTTCTGTGATATTCACAAGGTAAATCTCCCCCAGAACCTGCCTGCAATCACTTTAGCCTCACTGATGACTGCTGCCGACATCCACCGCTTCATTAGAGGAGCAGGTTTCAAGCGGGAGTGGCCTAGCCCCGGGGAGCATGGGGCAACGTCTGAAGACATTTGGGGCTGGCACGACTGGGAGAGGGTGGGCTACTAGCACCCAGAGGGTGGAGGACATGGATGTTGCTGAACAGCCCATCACATGCAGGACAGCGCCCAACTGCAAGGATCATCCGCCCAAAGGCCAGCAGGGCTGGGCTGGGCACGCCTGCCCCCACTGGCTGCGGGCGCCAGGCCGGGGCCCACCTGTTGATCTGGGTGACATATTGCTTCATCTCCTTCAGGGCCACGTCCAGCTTGGTGAAGAGCTGCAGGTAGGCGTCCTGGATCTCACGGTCCTCCTGCTTGAGCAGGAAGCTCAGGCCCCGGTCTTCCTGGCCCAGGGCGCCCCCGGCTGGCCCGAAGCTGCTGTCGTGGAGACCCTGGCCTTGGGGGTCCCCGTCCGCAGCAGGCAAGCACTTCCAGGAGGGGGCGGCCATGGTGGTGATGCAGTGCTGGGTATAGGACATGGGGTTTAGGTGGCCTGAGTGAGGAAGGGAGAGCGCATTCAGAAGCAGCCCCCGACACCCACGTGCCCTGGGGCACAGCCGCACGAACACAGATACCAGTGCATAAGAAAAGCCTCCCTCAGGTGGATTCGGTGGCTCAGCCTGTCACCCCGCGCCTTTGGGAGGCTGAGGTGAGTGGATTGCCTGAGCCAGCGGGTTCGAGACCTGCCTGGGCAGCGAGACCTCATCTCTACAATAAATCAAAAAATCAGCCGGGTGTGGTAGTGCACGCCTGTAGTTCCGGCTACTTGGAAGGCTGAGGCGGAAGGATCACTGGAGCACAGCAGGTCGAGGCTGTGGTGGCCGGAAGCGGCCACTCCAGTCTGGGCAACAGAGTGAGACTCCAACTCAAAAAAAGAAAAGCCTCCCTCTAAATACTCCTAATCCGCCAAGTTACTTCAAGAAGAAAGTCTCGACCTGGGGCCAACAGGCTTTAAACGACTGGGGTCCTGTTCCTGCCTAGAATGTAGACACGATGGTTGGTGCCCCTGCCGGTGCATCTGCCATGAGGCCTCCGAAGACCAGAAGCCACATCTAGAGACTGTGGTGCCAAGGACGGGAGGCTGGACCCGGCAGCCAGGGGGCCGCCACTCCCGCCCTGAACTGCTGCCCTCAGACACCCTGCTGCTGGAGCATGGGGACTGCAGGACGTGAGCACAGCTCCGAAGAGACACGTGCAGGTACCTTGCTCGGGGTCGAGGCCGATGAGGGAGGGCTTGCGGCCGAAGCGGATGCTGAAGGACCTGCCCACCGAGGGGGTGGCCTTGGGGTAGGACACCTCCATGAGGTTGATGTGGCAGTTGGTGGGGCAGAAGTCCAGGCCACACAGCACGTGGGGCTCCGAGGTGGCCTGCTTGAAGGGCAGGCTGACCCTGCTCCTCAGCTGGGCTGCAAACTGAGAAAATGGGGGTGCGGGGTCAAGGGCTAGCAGAGGACACGGAGTCAGGAGTCGGGGCACAGGGGAGAACGTGGGGTTGTGACTTGGGGGCCAGTGGAGGATGTGGGGTCCTGAGTGGGGGGGATCAGCGGAGGGCAGGGGTCATGAGTGGGGGCCACTGGAGAACGTGGGGGTCATGGGTCAGGGGTCGGCAGAGGGCATGGAGTCACGAATCCAGGAGTCAGTGGAGGACACAGGGGCCTGAGTCAGGGGCCAGTGGAGCATGTGGGGCCATGAGTCAGGGTCAGCAAAGGGTGTGCAGTCTAAGTGGGAGCACAATGGAGGGCACGGGGTCATGAGTTGGGGTCAGCAGAGGGCGTGGAGTCATGAGCGGGGCTCAGCGGTGGGTGCAGGGTCATAGGTTGGGGGTCAGTGGAGGGCACGGGGTCATTAGCTGGGGTCAATGGAGGCACAGGGTTATGAGTTAGGTTAAATGGAGGGCATAGGGTATGAGTTGGGGTCAGCGGAGAGCACAGGGTCATGAGTCAGGGTCAGCGGAGGGCACAGGGTCATGAGTTGGGCTCGGGGTCTGGAACCCTGGTCCACCCCCTGTACCCACTTCCTCCTGGCCGAGGCCAGACATCTCAAAACTGGACAAAAAGGCAACAGCCAAGGGGAAAGGGGACCCCCACACTGTCTCCTGTTGGCTCCAGATCTCAGGGAAGGTCTGGGGGTGCCTAAGGCCTGGGTCCTCACCCCACCCATGCTCCATCTTGGCTACCCCTGAGCACCTGCAGGCTCTGTCTCTCCCAGCCCTCTGATCATGGAGTTCAGGTACTTCCCCACCCCTACGGTGATGGGGATAGGTCCAGCCAATCAGAGCTCCATTCAGTTACTTTTCTAGTGGGTTTGCTAGAGCTAGAACCACTGGGGGCCGTCTCATCACCACGTGAGAAGGGCCTTCCCGAGAGTGAAGGCAACACAAAGGAAAACAGAGTCAGGAGATGCAGAGAGGCCATCTCCCTGTGAGGCTGTGCGATCTGCTTAAGCACCTGGATACAACCATGTCTGAAGCCCGCCCCTGCACTTTCCAGCCTCACAATCCAATAAGTCCTCCCCTTTGTTCCACTTGGATTGGGGTTTGAAATTTACAACCTAAACACCCCTGGCTGGGATGGGATGCCAAGTGCCCGTGGCGCGTCTGGCAGGGAGCAGCACCTGCTGGTAGCGGGCGATCCTCTGGCCAATGCTCTCCAGCTTGGTGTCGCAGATGTTGCGGAACTCGTAGTGGGGCATGGTCACGATGGCGCTGCTCAGGGCCATGAGCTGCCCACAGTTCTGCACGAAGACGCTGTCCTCGGCAGCAAAGGCCTCAAGGATCTGCGGGGACACCAGTGGCTCCTGAGTGCTCCCGCCGACCCCTGACTCTGCACCCCCATTTTCTCCCAGGCAGGCCCATGACTGCCCGTTTGGCAGACGAGTCCACTGAGGCCTAAGGGGCCATCACCCTCCTCAGCCCCAGGCTGCCAAGGGACAGGACGGGGACCAGGCTAACTCTGAGGAAGCGGGAAGCGGGGTGCTCCCGCCCCGGCCCCCCAGCCCCAAGGCAGGGCAGGGCCCACGAGACCTTGGCAGTGAGGCCGAAGCAGCCGCGGGGCTCCACAATCTTCTCCAGCACGTGGCACCGGCCGCCGGCTGTGCTCATGTACTCGTACACCACGCCGTGTTCCAGGTGCACGTTGTCCACGGTCAGGCTGACCACTGGGCTGTCCTCCCGCAGGCTCAGCTGGGGGCCCAGGGACAGCAGGGGCGAGGCTGGAAGCCAAAGGGCGGGCCGCGCTGAGGTGGGCACTCCACTGCCAGCCGGGCCTGCGCCACCACCAAGACGGCAAGTGGTTGGGCAAGAGGGAACCCGGCACCTGTCCTGCGCCTCTGTTTTTGCTGGGCCGCTGCTGCCCACCCTTGTCCTGAAAGACTGTCCCTCTAGGAATCAACCCTTGGGCCCCATTCTCAGCCCATGTGGCTCAGGAGAGGCTGACCTCGCCGCCCCCACCCTTCCCTGACTCTGGGTCCACTGACAGTCAGGAGCCTCCGGCCTGGCCCATCAGCAAGTTCTATTTCCCCTTCTCAGCGACTGGCTCAGGACCAAGCATGTGACCCAAGCTGGGCCCATGGGAGTCGGGTCGGGGACTTTTGTTGGTTTACAAAGAAGAGACAGTCTCCTCTCAACCAGATAGCAGACTGCCAGAACCACCAAGCAGAGAAAACCCCATGTGAGAGAAAAGTCAACACTGAGGGCTGAGCACTGGAGAGAAAGAGACTCTTCAGGATACCGCACGAGGACCTGGATCAAGCTAGACCTGAAGTCACTCAACTCCCCTTTTTTTTTTATTTTTTTTTTATGAGTTGGAGTCTCACTCTGTCGCCCAGACTGGAGTGCAGTGGCCGCTCCCGGCTACCGCAGCCTCGACCTGCTGGGCCCCGGCGATCCTTCCTCCTCAGCCTTCCAAGTAGCCAGAACTACAGGCATGCGTTACCACGCCCAGCTAATTTTTTGATTTATTGTACAGATGAGGTCTCGCTGCCCAGGCGGGTCTCGAACCCGCGGGCTCAGGCAATCCACTCACCTCAGCCTCCCAAAGCCATGGGATTACAGGCTGAGCCACCGAGCCTGGCAACTTCCCTTTTTTTAACATACCCCTGATGAACACAGGCCCAGGGAGGCTAAGTGACTCCTCGGAGGCCATGCAGCAGGTCGTGACCTACCCAGGAAACAACACAGCACTTCCTTAAAGTGAATCACTTTCTCTCACACCCACTCCAGAGCCCCTCCATCACTCACCCTCTCTCTCCCGCACCCTGAGGTCACCCCCGGTCACTTCTCTTGTTCTTTTGCTCACTCTGTCTCCGCCACGTCCACCTTGCTCACGTTCACATCCCCGGCTCACGGGACATGGCACGGGGCGGGGGCTGTCCTTGTTGGGTGGAGATGACCAGCTCCTCTCGGCCAGGCTGACCGTCATCCCTGAGGTGCCCACGTGCCTGGGGAGGAGGTGCGCGGCCCTTTCCTCTCCAGGGGGCATCGACGGGGCTCAGAGCTTCAGCCCGAGCCCCTGGGGACCCCCGTGGGGCCATGCATTTCAGCAGTGGGAGGCGGCTCCTCGGCCAGCCATAAGCCCTGGCTCTTGCTGGCCATCCGAGTTTCAGTAGGAGCCCAGAGCCGGCAGACACGGGCCCCCCGCAGGTCCCTGGTCCTCCACGGCATCGGCCCCGGCCCCAGGCGGAAAGGCTGGGTGGAGTCCGCGAAGCGGCCAGAGAGGCAGGAGTATTACACAGACCCCAGATCTTTCCTGAGGGCCTACTGTGTGCCAGCTCTGCCCTCGGCTCTGAGGAGACAGCAGGGAATGGAGCAGATGGAAAACCCCTGCCTTCGTGGAACCTGTGTTCCCATGGGGAAGAGGGAGAGGAGCAGTCGACAAGTAACTGCAGGAGTTGGGCATGGTGGTGTGCGCCTGAGTCCCAGCTCCTCGGGAGGCTGAGGTGGGAGGGTCACCTGAGCCCAGGAGTTGGAGGCTGCAGTGAGCTATGGTCACGCCACGGAACTCCAGCCTGGGCAACAGAGCGAGACCCTGTCTCTAAAAAACAAAATTAAATAAATCAATAGAGACTACTAGCACTTTCTTTTTTTTTTTTGAGTTGGAGTCTCACTCTGTCACCCAGGCTGGAGTGCAGTGGCACGCACACTCGTGGCCACCCCAGCATCGACCTGCTGGGCTCCAACGATCCTTCTGCCTCCGCCTCAGCCTTCTAAGTAGCCAGAACTACAGGCGTGCGTTACCACGCCCAGCTAATTTTGATTTTTTGTAAAGATGAGGCCTCACCAAGTTGCCCCGGTGGGTCTCAAACCCTCGGGCTCAGGCAATCCACTCATCTTGGCCTCCTAAAGTGCTGGGATTATAGCTAAGCCACAGCCCGGCCACTAGCGCTTCTTTCAAAAAAAAAAAACAACTATGTATCAACCAATCCATGTGGTGGGATACAGACACTGACAGACAGAAAAGGCTTATTTAATCAGGACACACAGAGGGGGATTCTCAGGAGGTGACATCTGAGCAGAGATCTGAGTGAGTGAGGAGACTCTGGAGGAAAGCGTTCCAGGCAGCAGGAAAGCATGTGCAAAGGCCCTGGGGCAGGAAAACATTCAGCTGGAGTGAACGAGAGAGCAAATGGGAAAGTGACAGGGGTGAGGTGGCAGAGCCGGGCTGCACCCAATCACACAGGCCTTGAAGGCCATGGTAAGGCCTGGGTCTGTGCCGTACGTAGGGAGGGAGCCACTGGAAGGTTCAGTTCTCACTTCCCGGGAGTAGCCCATTGAAGGAGGCAAAGGCAGAACAGGGAGAAGCTGAGCAGGCTACTGCACCAGTCCGGGTGAGAAACGGTAGCCTGGGTCAAGCAACTGTGGAAGCGGCAGGACATGGTCAGGCTCGGGACGTGCGGGGTGGAGGAGGGGGTGGTGGTGCTGGCCCGGCTAGCAGTGCTGCTGGGGTGGAAGCGGAAGGACAGAAGGGAAGAGCCAAGGAGGATGGGGCCTGGGGGCTGGGACACGGAGGGAGGGGCAGGTGGGGGGAGGCTTGGCTGCAGCTGTGATATGTGGAGCCTCCAGCAGGGGGCGACCGGCGCTGGAAGGAGGGCGGGTGTGCTTGGGGCTAAAGCTGGGCTACGGAAGACGCTCTGCACACGACTTGACTTGCAGCAGGCAGGAGACTGCGGCCTCCTCATCCCGGAGCCAGCGAGAACATCCCGCCAGTGGCGCTATGGCTCGAATGCACCCCCAGAAGTTGTTTGTTGGGAGCTGCGTCCTTTGGGGAAAGGTTTAAGTCACCAGGGCACTGCCCTCATGAACAGATTACTGCTGTCATGAGGGCTCAACGGGGAGCAGGCTACTGCAACAGTCCTAGTGAGAGACGGTGACTTGGGCCAAGCAGCCGAGAAGGTGGTAGGACCAGCCCTCTCTTGCCCTCCCTCCCTCCAGTCATGGGAGGACATGGCGTGCCTCCCTTCCAGAGGATGCAGCAGGAGAGTCCTTGCTAGGGGCTGGAGCCTCGACCCTGGGCCTCCTGTCCTCTAGAACTGTGTGAAAATTACTCTCTGTTCCTTATAAATCAGCCAGTCTGCAGCACTCCACCAGAGCAGCTCAAACAGCCAGAGACATGTGGCTGGGGATGATGAGGCGTGGGTCAGCCAGCTTTGGAGAGGGAGAGTCACCTGGCCTGTCTGGGTGGTTCCCTCAATGGAGGCAGAGAGTCAGCCGGAGAGGAGGCAGTGGGGAGGATGCAGCCAGCAACGCTGAGCCTCGGTCGCAAAGGGGCCACAAGCCAAGGAGCACGGGTGTGCCCAGGAGCTGGGAGAGGCGAGGAAGCGGATTTTCCCCAGAACCCAGAAGGGAATGTGGCCCGGACGCCATGACGAGCCAGTGAGGCTTGTTTCCGGCTTCTGACCTCCAGGACTGTACAACAGTGACTGTGTGTGGTTTTGGGCCCTGGGTTGGTGGAACATTGTTGCAACAGCCATGGGAACTGACACAGAACAGCAGGCACCGAGCCGGACTGGCTGGGAGAGGGGCAGCAAAGGACACAGGAGAGGACCAGCCCCTGCAGGCTCCGCCCCTCTAAAGCTCCCAGCACGCCTCTCCCTCCTGTCACCTGAATCAGGTTGGTCCTCCTCCTGGAGCCGCTGGCCATCAGGTTCCTCACCAGGGCCCTCCTGGCTGGCCCGCGCCTCCTGGGCGTCCTCGTGGGTGTGGTAGATCCACTGGTACAGGCCCTGTGGGAAGCCCGAGTCAGGGGGCCGCCATGGCGCCCACAGCTGGGGAGGAAGGGATGGACGAGGAGGGAACTGCTCCAGGTTCCAACGCTCAGGCTCTCGGCCTGTTGGTGACGCCACCTGTGGAGTGGCCTCCAGGATCTCACCCGGAAACTTCCTGACTGCCAGTCACACTCGGCCCTCACCACCTGGTCTGTGCTCCACACAGAAGCCAGAAAGGGGTCCCTGAAAATGTCAGATACCCACAGGCACAGACACTGTCTCTCCTGCTACCTGCCTGCCTGGCACACCATGGGTGCTCAATACACACTTCCGGAGTCAGCCCTGAGTCAGCGGGGGACGCCCAGCCCCACCAGGGCCCATCCCCCAGCCCCAACATAATACCACTTTTCGCCGTCCACATGACCATCTGGCCACCAGGCATGAGGCCAGATTGGAGGGCCTCAGCACACCCATTCCGCGGCTGGGGAAGCCGAGGCCGTGAGGCACTGGGCCCCAGCTCCTCCGGTGTGAACAGGCAGAGGGAGCGTCGAGCCCAGCTGGGCGCCGTGGGCAGCCCCAGGCCACCCGGGGCACCACAGGCTGTTCCCCAGGGAAGGGCCAGCCCTCACTGCCCCGCGCCCAGCAGGCCTCCCTGGCCCCGGCCACTCACCAGGGCCTCTCCCCGTCGGCTCCGGAAGGCCTGGAAGTGCTCCAGGACCTCGGAGGCACTGTCGTTCATCACACTGTTGCCGTTGACCTTGAGGACACACTGACCGGCACGGAGCCCGGCGGCCGCGGCCTCTGAGCCTGAGGGACGGGAGGGCTTGAGGCCGGATGCCAGGCAAGGACGCGGGAGCGCCGTCCCCGCCGCCCGCCGCCCAACCGCGGACCCACACCCAAGGACTCCAGCTCAGCCCTCCCACGCCGGCACCGCCCGCCGACCCGCTCCAGCGGCGGAACGGGACTGACGTTCCCACTTGGCAGAAGACGCCCAGGCCACGAGCCCAGGGCCAGGCAGCGAGGCAAGCTGGGTGGGACCTAGGCACGCTTTGCTCTAGAGCTTCGTCTCCTGTGTAGTCCTGCAACGACCTTGTGAGACCGAGCCAGGATGATCCCCCTTGGCCGAGGGAAACGGGTCAGAGAGGCAAAGCGACTCTCTCAGGTCACACAGCCGGGAGAAGCCGGACTCAGCAAGTCGACCAGACCCCGAGGATGTGTTTTCCTGGCTGTCCCACGTTTCCAAGCACCAGGGTTTGTGTGATTAGTGCCAACAGTATGGAAATGCCAACAGACGCCAAGCTTTGCCTCCGGGGGAGAATACCGGGCCTGAATGGTGGGATGGTGACAAGAACAGGCCTGGGACCTCAGAGACCTGGCTTCAAACCCTGGCTCTGCCATGGGACAACCCTGCAACTGTCGGCAAGTTCCTTAAACTGCTCTGGGCCTCAGTTTCCTCATCTGTAAGGTGGGGACATTAATGACACTTACGCAGAGGGTCCCTGAGAGATCCGATGAGTCAGCACATGCAAAGCCTCAGCACCACACCCGGCACTTAGTAAATGCTCAAGAAACACTGGCTATTGTATTATTTTTGCCTGGCTTCCCTATGAACACCTGTGACTACCTGCCCAAACACCTTTGAAGATTGCTAAGGCAGGGTTTCCCCCCAAGGCACTACTGGCGTTGGGGGCCAGATCACTCCTATTCTCTGGGGTGTCCTGTGTATTGCAGGATGTTTGCAGTGTCCCTGGTCTACCTACTGGTGGCCAGGAGCACGCCCTTTCGGGTTGTGACAACCAGAAATGTCTCCAGACAGTGCCAGACATCCTGGGGGGGAGGGGAAAAGTCATCCCAGGGTGAGGACCAGTGCTCTAAGAATACGCAAAATGAAAACCCACTTAAAAACCATATCAGATTTTTTTGTAGCTTTCAGTCATGAAATGCATTTTCTTAATCAATAGATATTAAAAGCACAAATAGGACCTGCAGTGGACCATTAATATGCACAATTTATTATTTTTTTTAATTTAATTTGAGTTGGGGGTCTCACCCTGTCACTCGGGCTGGAGTACAGCGGCATGCTCACAGTACACTGCAGCCTTGACCTCCCAGGCTCAAGCAATCCTCCCACCTCAGCCTCCTGAGTATCTGGGATTACAGGCATGCAATACCATGCCCAGCTAATTTTTGACTTTTTTGTAGACAAGGTCTCACTATGTTGCCCAGGCTGGTCTCAAATTCCTGGACTCAAGCAATCCTCCCACCTCAGCCTTCCAAAGTGCTAGAATTATAGGTATGAGCCACCACACACAGCCTAATTAATATTCAAACTTTAAAAAGAGGGCACTTAGATATAAAAAGTTTGGAGCCCAGCATTGCAGACCTACTTGGTTTTGTCTCCAAGACAGTGACCTTAAACAGCATGCAGGGAAGAGGCTATGCAGAAGGCAGAGGTCTTGAACTTGTGGCCCTTGGGCTAGATCTGACCACACAAGAGTATGTGTCGAGCCCCAAATTCACATTTCTGGCCTCCTCTAGAACATCAAGTCTGGCAAGAGTGGGCCCACATTCCTGGCTGGCAAAAAAGAACTCGAGCTGAAGAGCAACTGTGCCTTTTAGAGTGAACACACATATACATTTTTTACCTTGCCACAGTCCTTACCACTCCCTACTGCCTTCCACTCAGATCACGCTACTCATTCATAAACTGCCTGACCCCAACAGGCATTTGTATTTGCAAGTCTTGGCATCAAGCAAAGAAAATAAGGGCTAATGGCACATGATCAGGCAGAGGCCCGGTAGCAACGGCTGTGAACTACCACCCAGACGGACCCATCTCCCGAAGCTCCCCCTGCCTGCCGGGCGCCCGCTCACCTCTCCCCACGGCGTAGACGTATGGCGGCGCAGCCCCACGGATCTGGAAGCACAGTGTCTCTGGCTGGTCGGGGATCTTGATGATCCTGCATCAGGCAAAAGTCGCAGGGAAAGGTCATAAGGAAAAGCAGCATCGCTCCCTGTAACCCGGGGAGGCCAAGCTGGGGAGCCCCCACCCCCAAATTTTTAGAAAACCCAGCCCAAAGTAGTAGCAGCACCAGATCCCAAACAGAGAGACATCCACTAAGCAGAGTCTGCACACCAAGATCTGGTTTGTCTGGGGTTTTTTTGGAGTCAGGTCTCACTCTGCAGCCCAGGCTGGTCGCAGCCTTGATCTGCTAGGCTCAGATGATCCTTCCACCTCAGTCTCCCGAGTAGCTGGGACTACAGGCACACACCACCATGCCTGAGTATTTTTTGATTTTTGGTAGAGATGAGGTTTCACTATGTTGTCCAGGCTGGTCTCAAACTCCTGGGTTCAAGCCTTAACGTTTCACAGTGCTGGGATTTCAGGTTAAATTTTTTTTTTTTTTTTTTGAATTGGAGTCTCACTCTGTTGCCCAGGCTGAAGTGCCATGGCATGCTACTCTCAGCCCCTACAGCCTCAACCTGCTTGGCTCCGGGGATCCTTCCGTCTTAGCCTTCCAAGTAGCTAGAACTACAGGCACGCGCCACCATGCCTGGCTCATTTTTTAAATTATTATTTATTGTAGAAATGAGATCTCACTAAGTTGCTGGTCTCAAACCGCTGGGCTCAGGCAATTCTCTCGCCTCCACTTCCCAAAGTACTGGGACTACGGGAGTGAGCCACTGCACCTGGTCTCAGGCTAATTTTTTTATTTTGTGTAGAAATGAGGTCTCACTGTTGCCCAGGCTGGTCTTGAACTCTTGGACTCAAGTGATTCTCCTGCCTTGGCCTCCAGAAGTGCTGGGAGTATGGGTGTGAGCCACTGTACCCAGCCAGGATCTTTAGTTCATCAGAACCTGCTGAGATGCCCCTGGATCTCATCCACGGACAGGATTCCACACCACCTTTCCACACCATCCCCATCCTTCCTAAGGCTCTGAGGGGCCAGACTGGTACTTCAGCCAGTCAACATTTTATTCAACAATGACAGATGAGGGGGTAAGGAGTGACCCAGCACATCTTGGGCTTGACCCTAGGAAAGTGCCCATGTGGGTCCCCCTAAGAAGACAGGTTGGCCGGGATCGGTGGCTCAGCCTGTAATCCCGCACTTTGGGAGGCTGAGGTGAGTGGA